TTCTATTCTCACGGGACATTTTAAAAACATAAATCATGACTATTTAACTTATCCCAAATTTTAGCTACATGTCTTTCAACCTTAAGCTCAAAGGTAAGCTACTCATGTTTACGTCGAACAAGCCAGAATCATTGTTGAACTAATTCAGAACTGTTTTAACCATGATGAGACGCAGTTGTAGTAGACCAATTGAAAAGAAAGAGTTTAATTATTTTCCTTTCAGTATATAAAAAATAGCAATAGTTATAAACAAAGGGTTGGGTGACTATTGAGAACTACTATGCTTATTTAGGTTGTCATCTAAATCTAGAAAGCATACTGAATGAAATATAAAGAAAACGAACAAAAAGAATTCGGTCTCTAAAACATCTTTACTGTTATTTACCAGGGACTAGCAAGTGCTGTCATCCGTGTCATTAGTATCTCGTTTTATTCGATAATCTTTTTTTAATAATTGGGACAGCTTTGACTTCTTTATAAGCAGAATCTTGATGCAAACGACCTCGCTACATTCGGTATTGTTTTTATAAACAAAATATATATGAATAAATACCGGATTCAAAATTCATCCCCTTATAAGCGGTACCTCCCTTTCTTCGATCAAAAAAGCAAAATTCGGATAGAGAATATTTTTTTTTTCTTTTGGATTTCCACACAAAATCTTAAACAAATCCTTAGTTATCGAATATATATATATATATATATATATATATATATATATATATATATATATATATATATATATATATATATATATATATATATATATATATATATATATATATATATATATATATATATATATCTTCAACACGGTTCATGACAGGGAGTTTCTTGTAAGGTTGAAGTTAACCAGTTAAATACTGTAATCCTGCACTTATCAATTTTTGTGTTGATAAAGATAATTTATACTGCATTTTTTTTTACTGTGTATATATCATCAATCATGCATTGGCAATGAAACAAAAATTAAAGTCACATTAACTTAATCATTGTGGAGCTTTTGCATTGAAAGTAAAGTTATATGGCCTGTGTTATAGTCTTCAAAGTTGAAATTGATCAATAGATAATCAATAAAATCAACCAAAATTGAGGCCAAGTTTTGACAAAAGCCAAATTTGAGGCCAGGTAAAAAAATTTGTTTAAAAAACAAACAATGGAGACCAAAATAGAAGCCAGATCAACTTAGAGGCAAGGCCAGCCAAATGGACAAGGCAATGTTTTCTTATATGCCTTGATAAGCCAGTGTTTTCACAGTTTAATGTCTACAGATTCTTTCCTTTACCCGATCATAGAAAATAAATTCTCGGTGGCCGTGACCCATCAACAGAAGATGCTCACTCTAAACATGACAACTGAGGCCGTTCTGATTACAATTTTGTACTTTTTAATTAGATTTTGAGCATGTTTAGTGTTCGTTATCTTCAAACTTCATTTCATTAATCTTTAAAATCTGTTGATATAGGAATTGACAATATCTCAACAATGCACTTGATTACATGTATATAATGATGTCATGTTAATGTTATATTTTAATGTCGATGTTAATCCAAACAACGATTGTTGGAAAATGCTAGGAAGAACTTTTCAGACCAATATTTTTTTCTGTACATGTAAATGTAAAATTACAGATCTTGAGATTTTAGAGTACCCAATTGCATTACTCTTTACAATAGTACATTACTCTTTAAATATGCTTATCGTTACCTTACCTATAAATAAATATAAAAATAAACAGAAAAGAAGTTAACGACCTTAAATAATTCCCTTTCAAATGATCAAGGATCATTTTTTCTTTCATATGCAGGAACTATTTCATCTATATTTTTTATATGAATAAGGAAAAATTACCTACACTAAAAATGCTCGTTACATAAATCTTTAAATGTTTCTTTCTTTTGAATTTTGTTCCTCATTTTCTAACGAATTGCAGCGAATGTTACTCAATATAGTCTTTGCAAATACAATTATTTGCATTATAAATTAAACATGCATTCACAATATAAACAATATTTTCTTAGCATATATCATTGAATAGTTTCTGAGACATTATCTGAAATTATCGGCGTTTAACAATGCTGATATGAAAGAGGTAGGTGTAACTTTCTTTTCTATATAAGATGTTAAGAAAACAAGTACATTTTAATCAGTTCTGTAATGGCTGCATAAAGGAACGGGACCTTATCTAAACAGGTAATGTTAGATCTGATATGAAATATAAAATTCCAAAAATAAAAAAAGCCTAAAACATTTGCTACTTTAAATAGCAAAATTGTAGTTAACGTTTTCAAATTTACCACTGTTTCTTTGTCGCTAGTTAAATCCCACACAGCAATACATAAAAAGTCACTGATTGCACTTGTCGACAGTATGTCATCATGGTAAAATTTGACACATTTTATAATTATGCGCAGAGAGATTTGAATCTTTCTTTCTTTCTTATTTTTTTGATGCAGATGTGAAACTTATGTTCAGTGCGATTAATTAATAATTGAAAGGTTAATGAACTGAATTAATATTACTGTGTGTTGTGTACTTAATGGAACTCCTCTCTGCTGGTCAAGCGTCTTTGAAATTAAATATGAACTTTTTTGGTTGAATATCGTAATATGTGTAGCAAACAGAAAGATTTTTTTTCGAGATCATCAAGAGCTTTGCTGGGGTCATATTAACCTCCCAAAAATCGTTTACATACTTAAGAGATTGTCTGTAAGTTTATGTAGAGCTACGTTTACATTGGTCTTCGCCTTTTTAAGAAACATTTTTGGTTTCAAAAGTCCTTTAACAGTTTCATAAAATTTAAGTATATATGCGCTACTTCATATCTAAATACAGCTTATATCGTCAGCACACAAAACGTTTTTACCCGGAACGTCTCCATTCAGACGTTTTAACAGAAAGTTCCAAAGGTTTACTATTCATAAATAAATCCAACTTTTAATTAAATCAATATGCATACTTCTACAAAAATATAACAATAATGTATGAGAGAGCTCTAAAATACATGGTGTACATTGTGTACTCGTTGTCATAACGGAAATTGACAAGATAATATCAGTATGTTTGGGAACATGCTATTTTTTCATTCTGATCAACGTGGCGCAGTGGTTAGAGCGTCTGCTCTAGAGTCACGAGGTATGGAGTTGATTCTTACGTCGCGGGTTCGAATCCCACTGTGGGACGTGGAGACCGGTCCTTTGGATGAGACCGTATAAACCGAAGTCCCGTGTCGCAGTAGTGTTGGCACGAAAAAGATCCCTCACTGCTCAATGGCCGTAAGTACCGAGCATAGGACAAAATTTGCAGCTCTCCACCGGCAAGTGGTGGCCTCTCCATATGAGTGAAAAATTATCGAGAGGGACGTTAAACAACAAATAAACAAAAACAAACACTCTGATCAAAACATTTTAAATGAAAATACTGTTCGTTTAAATCCTTTTATACATATATTTTACTGGGACCTGAGGTATCTGATTTTTGCAAGCATTTCACCAATCGTGGTTGCCAAAGATGAACAGGGGAATGATTAGAAGAAAACGTCTGAAAGGAAACAAATACTTAGATTTAGATATTTTCTTCTAAATATCTTTCCTTCTCAAGGAATATTAGATCTATTTCTAACGATTTTGTGAGATTTTCTTCTTTCTTTCTTATACGATGGAAAGTTGTAGATTTTCATTTATTCCACCAGAATATTTTACAAATATAGTTGATGATTGATTATTTTGATTTTAAAGAACTTATCGCATGATCTTTCAAAAATCGTAATTTTATGAAAAATATCTACAACCTTGTTTACTAAAATACTGAATACAATAAACGGTGTTGAAAGCATATTTTAAGAGATATTGAGAGTTGAAATTCAAATACGGCAATATGCATATTTCAGTCGGATTTCGTCGAAATACTGTTCTGACGTCATAGTCGACAATTCAGTGATAGAGAGATGAGAATATGCAAACTAATTACAGCAATATGCATATTTCAGTCGGATTTCAGCAAAATACTGCTCTGACGTCATAGGCGACAATTCAGTGATAGAGAGATGAGAATACTGTATGCACACTAATTACCGAGTAATCAACGACAAATGCAGCTAAATTACGAAAAATGCTGAAAAAATTAATTCCTAGCATGCTTTTGAATTACTATAGAAACATTAACTAGTTCTAAGGTATAAGGCTTTTGAGATATTTTCGTTTTTTAAATGAAACATTTAGAATCTGTACAGCTCCGATTACGGCAATGTTTTGTGATCGGAAAATTATTTTTCAAGACTGCCATCCTTTACAAAACATAAATAAATTAATGTTATGCTAAGAATGAAGATTCACAAAGTTATACAATATTAAATTTGTGAATCAAATAAGTAAATATATGTGATAAGATGACAAATCAAATTGTATTGTGGTGGCGAGTTTCCTCGTCTTCGCCTCGTCTCCTTCGGTATCGTCGCTGCTCTATTTACAATGTTAACAAACTTTTCAATTTTTTTTCTTGCTGACAAATCTAAAACATAAGGTTGGATATTCAATTTCATATCGATAAAATCAATGATTTGTTCGTCCAAAACGCAGAACATTAATTGCATCGCGTATATTTTAGTAAGATTAAAGTGAAGACCCTAATGTAGATTTTCCAAAGGGTTTGGAAAAGTTTTGGAATTTCATTGAATTCCAAACATTTCCATACAAGAGTATTAGTGTGTTTTTGGAAGTTTTTGGGATCTTTTGGAATTTGAATAACAAATTTGGACTTAGACATTTTGAGGTTTGGAAAGTTGTGGAATTCTATGGAAAACCTGATAAAATGAGAAACTTAGACATTTTCTGCTCTGGAAAGCTATGAAAAATAACTTAGAATTTTTTCTTAAACTGTCGGCTCATAGTACAATTACGTCGGGCTCGATGTCGGGCTCGATGAACAAATAATTTAAACAACAGCCCGCAAAAAATCAACAATTCGGCTGCCATGTTGTATTGTTGGACAGAAGGAAAGAGAGTGTCAAGAAGAAGGGAACTGCTGTCATCATTAGCTTGGAATGGAATTTGTATTTTGACAAAAGATGCAGACATTTTAAGAACCGGTAGGTACAATGTACAGTATTTTATGTGTCCTTGAAGTTGAATGGATAATTGCTTCTGCTACTGTTCCTCAGTCTGGGCACCACACACATAGAATGCCCGACGGTGAAACCATTAGGGCGAGCGCAGTTTCATTTCTGTAATAATTATTGTACAACTCTAAACATCTCTTATCAAAATATGTTTGAACAATGTGTGGATTTTAACCCGAATTTCCTCCGTTCTTACATGTCCTTAGACCTCGCTATAGATGCGAGTGGCACATTGCCAATTGCGCCACGACAGTCCATGTTACATCGTACACAGACATCATAACACTATTAGTGTCTCCAACATGTTGCAACATCAAATTGGTTATCTTTACCATGTTTACAATGCAGAAAAAACGTGTAGACGGAGGTAGACTAATAATGCTCTATATGATATAAAGTTGTGCACAACTTAGTTGCGGTAGACCCAAGCCTCTATTTAGTTTCACAGACTACAAGTACCACCAACAAAGGTATTTCAAGTCTTCCTTACTTTCAGAACTTTAGTACTTGCACAGATAATTTAGATATAGCCCCCCCCCCCATGCAGGGACGTTATGGAATTCTCTTCCATGCTCAGTGGTGTCGGCAGCCTCTTTGGGGCCAGTTCAGAACTCTGGTCCAAATTATTAGCTAATAACATTCCTTAGTACATGTACTACTTACATTTACAGAGTACAATGTAAATAATTATATCTATTTTTTAATGCATGTTCACGATCATTCACAACACTTACTTTTATTATTTTATAGTTGAAGTACTCGATTTGCACAGCGCTGGCATATAATCATCAAGTTTGAAGAAATGTCCTAATATGTAGGTGTAGATGCTAAGTCATTCAGTCACTTAGCTTGTGAGAATGGAGATTTTTTAATTATTTTCCTAATCAATAAAATCAAAAGAATTGAAATTATGTGTTTATCAATGTTAGCCAGGCATTGAGAAAAATTATTATAAACGTTAGACTCCACTCTTTCAAATATATTTTAGTTATTTTAAGAAGTTGTTGCTTTTAACTTGTTTCCCATGTCAGTTCTCTGTCCTGTTCACAGGCTTATACCTACGCCTTGTCAATGTCATTCATCATATTCTCACACAAACCTATAATCTTAGTTGCAGATATAAATTTCCAGAAATAAAGAAGTACATCTATACATGTACTAATATATTATCTTACTCAATACTGAATTGTTGATGGATGGAAGTTACATGTATTTATAACAGTTATTTAATATTTTCTAATTTTTCCAAAAGAAAAAATACATGTATATGTACATGTATTTGCATGTTTGAAGCTTAGAACAAATGTATTCTATATATTCACTTTATGTTATTTGCTTTGTCTATATTGTTACATTGTAAATATGCCAATGTGCATTTAAAGCAACTACATCTGCATATTGATTCGTCTTTTCCTCTTTTCAAGGGTCAGTTAACGGATTTTGCAAATATGGAGGATAATATATCAAAGGCAGCATAGGCGTCCAAACTCCTGTTCAAGGTGCTTTTAATCAGAAGCTTAAGAGACAAAAGACGAGCCATTGACAAGCCAAAACTGAATGTTTTATAGGGTATATAAATTATATTTACTAATGTACTTTTTTTCATACCTTAACTTTATTTGCTGAATGTTTTTAAGGGTACATAGTTTATGTAATTTACAATGTTCTCTCTCATATTCAAGGTTAATTAACTTAGACACAATCATGTCTCTTTATTTATACTTAAAGTGTATAAACAAAGAGACATGATTGGGTCTAAGTTAATTAACATTTTCTTTTTAGCTCACCTGAGCTCAAGGTTCAGGTGAGTTTTCTGATCAGTGTCTGGTGTTAGTCTGTCGACTGTAAACTTTTCACATTTTTGACTTCTCAGAACCATAGGATCAACCAAACTTGTCACAAAACATCCTTGGGTGAAGGGGATTCAGGTTTGGCTTTCATACTTCATAAAGTGTTTCCTTGTGAGAAGGCCTTCCATTGGATATCAACAATTTGACATATTTTGACCTTGACCGTTGATTATGATCCACTTTTTAAAAACTTTAACCTTGTCCTTAACTTTTGAATGGTAGGCGCAGGGCTTTCAAAAAGATCAGAAACAGATGGTACTTTTACAACAATAAGAGGTACCTTGTGGAAGCGATTTTAATTAAATACAAAATACGTTAAAGAATTTTCCCCCATCAAATACTTATGCCGGTACAATCATGATTTCAGCCGGGTAAAAGTACCTGGTACCGGCAGATTTTGAAAGGCCTGTTGGTGATAGGGCTTTCAAATTTCACAAGTATATTTCTTGTGACAAGACCTTCCCTTGGGCACTATTAATTTTGACCTTGACATTTGACTTACTTTCAATAAACTTTATCCTTCGCCATAACTTTTCAATGTTTGGTGCTAGGGCTTTCATATTTCACAGTTATTTTCCCTGAGACAAGACATTTCTTTGGGTAACAACATTTTTATCTTTTGACCCTGACCTTAGAGTTTGACTTGCATTTGACAAACTTAAACCTTAGCCATAGCTGCCATATGTGGGCATCAATCTTTCACAAACACATTTTTTTTTTTAATTTCACAACTTCTATTAGTTTAAAAAGGAATCAATCCTAATCTGAACAAAAAATTACAAGATAATAAATTCCTATTTTACAGTATCAAACTGATCTGCCAGGTTGAAAGAACCAATTGTCTTGTATAGCTTTAGTTTATTATTTGTCATATATTTATTTATGAGATAGATATCATACATTTTTATGGTAATCTTTTCTTTCAGAAATTGAGCAAGAAAAGTTTGAAGTGTCTTTGGGAATGATCAACATCAAACTTGCTGAGCTTTCGAAGCCGTCGTACCAAAAGTAAACCCATTTGTGACAACAATTATCTGACCATCCTCTAGCAGAACCAGTGAGGAAGTGATTCTAGCCAACACTTTAGAAGTTCAGGACCTTCAATAATAAGGATCTTGGGGCATGTTGGGGAAAAAAATAGCATGTGTTGATTTTATGGGATCTTCCAAATATAGTTGTGTAGTAGATATTTGTGTACTTAATACCTATGTTTGTCACTCTAGTCATTAACTTTGTATGGTAAATGTCTATGGACCACTGGAAGATCATTGTAACTGTATACAAATGTTGCAAATATACCCTTTTAAGGCTTTAGTGACCTTTCCCAAATTCATTTAATGAAGCAAAAGGTCATAATTAATTTTTTTTTTTTAATCTAATTTGTTTTATTATCAAAAATGTCATATGTTTGGGATTACTCTAGGTACAAAGGATTTTCTTTAAACAAAAGTCATTTGTTTCTCATGCAGACTGTAATTTACTACATGAACATGCATGTATATTATAATAATTCTCATTAATTAAACCAAGATGATCATCCAGTAATGATATTTTTCTGTGGATTTTTAAGATTGTTTAAGTATCCTTTGATGTAAAATACTTTCAGTGATAATACTTTTTTTTTTAAATTTGTGCTTACATTATACATAGAAGTGTGTATGCAATATTTGTCCCCAAAGACATTGTAAAGCAAAAATGATTATTTATTCTGAAAATATAGATTTGATTTATAAAAAATTGTCATATAGTCATTTTTTTGTAATTATTTGGCCCTTGAATTATTTTGATTATTTCATTTTTTTGTATTTTCCTGGAATTCCTTGGATTTCCGTGGAATTCCATAGATTTCCAAATATCCTGGAATTCCATGGATTTCCAGCTATTTCCGCAAATTTCTATTCTGGCATTGTTCCGCTCTTTTCCAGGCTAGATTTGAAATTCCATACCATTCCGAAAAAGTTCCGTCCCAATACTCTTGAGAATTCCTCGGAATTCCATGAACACTTTTTCCATGGAATTCCACGGAATTTGTTATGGAATTCCACGGATCTTACGGAAAATCTACATTAGGGGAGCTGCGCAGCTCAGTTAAGGCTGCATCAAGGGGGCGGTGCCTAATTTACACAGAAAATGTCTACTGTGACATCACACAAATATAGCAATTCCTCACAACAACAGAAAATGAAATAATTTGCAGCTTTAAACTGCGTAAGAGTGATGAACTACATCAAAACTTACCGTTGCATTCATTTTTGTTGCTAGTTAAATCCCGCACAGCAAGATATAAACAAGTCACTGATCGCAATGCACTTCTCGACATGACGTCATCATGGTAAAATTTGAGGCATTTTATGTGCAGGGAGAGGCGGATCATGTAATTTTTCCACAGTGAAAAACGCATTTTATTATTAAATACCGGGGTAGAATATTATTTGCAAATCTTAGGTAGGCCTTTAATACAAATATGAAACCTTTGTTTAGTGCCATTATTCAAAAACTATCGAGAGAATGTATTGAATTAATTCTACCGTGCTTTTGTATACAGGGTGTGCATGTTTCACGCCGAGATGCCTTATTAAATCGCCTTTTCGCAAGGACATACAATCAATAGATCTTGACCATTTTTTGAATATGCATAACTGAAGCATTCTTTAACTTGAAAAGGGCTGCTACTTTTCTGAAATAGAGAGCATTACTAAATAGATAAATAAAATGCATGGTAAAGGTCAAACATATATCGACTAGAAAATTAAACTATTAAAATGCGAATTCTATTAAAAGCAGCAGCACTTTCATAAACTACATGTTATATAGATACAATCTATTACTGTTTTTTTTAATTCTAACTAGGGTACATGTATGCCCTTGCGATATTGAAATTTGTTTATGACCTACATACAGTACACATTTCATGCATTTATCACATGACCGTCAAATAACGTGACCAAACCAAAGTCCGTACAGAGCAGGGTATACAATCTTATTTCAATTAAAATTAAAGTCATGTGATAATATAGTAGCTTTACAAAAATAAATTCAGTTTAAAAAGGTATGTATTTATGCACATATATATTCCATTGATTTATTCGTAGTACGTCTTAACAGTCCTGCGTGATAGCCATCGTCGCCTTTGACGCCACAGGGTCACGTTATCGCTATCTAATTTTAATTCAGGGGTTTTCATTTGAGTCAATAATTGGTTAATTACCGCGGTTTATTACCAGCAAAACACAAAATTTATAAACTGTGGTCATAAGGATCGTTTTACGCTTTCAATTTCAAATAATTTAGAAACATGCGATAAGTTCTTTAAGGGTTTTGATCTACACTTCCTCAAAAGTTAAAAGATAAATATTTTAAGAAACTGGTATGCCCTATTTAAAACAATCTTTTTAGAAATCTTCAACAATGAATATTATTTACAGTGGCAACTAAAACGAAGTCGGGGCGATATTATGCAACTGTACACCCCATGCCTATTCTTTGTGGATGCTCTCACTGATGGTTGCTGAATCTTTCAAAGAGAGGAGATCAAACATAAAGAAATGTAAATAGTGATTCATGAATATGGAGGAGATGATGTGATTTCAAACTTGAATTTATTCAAATGAATTTATTGCGTAAAGAGTATAATTGAAATATTGAAAGAAGTATGAACTGTTTCTTTTGCAAATCTTAGGATCTTGATTTTTATAAATTCTACAACGACTTGCTTTTTTTTTAAACAGAAAGACAATTAAATATTATATTCATATTTTAGTTAGCACGTGACAACAACACAGCACTTCAGAAATAGTGTACTGTTTGATAGTGTGCCTACGTTTATCAGATGATCAATGTTTATGAGGATTATATTTTTATCATCTATTTCTACTAAACGTGTACTGAATAACAACATTGAACATTTTCAGGTCAGTCTTTCCCCCCTAGCGTTACATGTGGTTTAGATATGATAAAAATCAGGATGCTTACAATGTCATAAAAAAACTTACAGGTGTAGTTTAAGCAGTTTTAATTTACTTACAATTGTAACGCATGTTGACTTTAAATTTAAGAGTTTCTAAGGACAGACATCTGCCAAAAAGATCAACACTTAGTGATATTTGCTTATCAGGTAGCAACCAAGGATTTCGGATAATGAACATCATTTATTTACTTCCGCATAGGTTTGAATGTGCTCTAGCAACATGCTACATGCAAGTGCGATATTAACACTTCTGCAAATTATCCATGGATATGGTATGACTTTTTTCAAAGAGATTATAATGTAATGTGATGATGAAAAAATGTAATGTTTAACAATATTTATGAAATGTTTACATCAATATTTAAATGCATTGAATCTGTTTTAAGAATATGTAGTAGTAAAGATAACACGAAATGTACAGAAAGCGTATATCAAATAAAAACAGCAATATTTTCAAAATGTTCTTCAATTTCAGAAAATATAGCTTTATATAAGCCCACACATCAATCTCATGTGTATATCAGTAATACGTTTGAAGAACAAATATTTGACTCAAGTAATGCTGTTGATGGCCTGAAAACTAACCTCTCAGCCTTTGGGGGACAGTGTGTTATTTCAGCTGATAAGTATTTTACTGCAACCTGGTGGGTAAATCTGACATCCATCTACAGCATTCATGATATAAAGATATATTACAGAACAGACAATTCACAATGGGGTAAGTATTTTACTTCCTGTCACAACACTGTTTTCTGCTTGAAACTTGAAATATAAAGGTTATTTTGTAAGACAAGGAATTAAATTTAGAATATTTTTTTACAGCAATTCAATGCTTACCTGTGTACATGTAATAAGGATCCTTTGCAATTATATTTGTTTCAAATCAATTTCGAATCATTCTAATTTAGCTGAGCACTATGAAAAGCATTATCTTACAGCACTGCAAAAATCCATTCTGACATAATATTAATGCCGCATTGATTAAATGGAGGAAAATATTTTAATACGGTAATAAGTAAGTCTCGTTGATTTTCACTTTCGCTTTATAACTTCCGGGTAAATGAGCGTTCTTGGAGACGATAAACTACTGCTTCGCATTTGGTTGTAAACATGGCAGTGGAATTATAAACATATAAGTTTGTTTTGCTTCGCGATTGTTGCAAAGAAGAGGATAAAATGAATTGCTATAAACAGGTAAATAGCGGTTAATTCCTTTATTGTTTCATTACATGATATAAATACAGGCTATTTTGAATGGGAAAGATTAGCCAGAATGTTTAAGCATAAAGGGAAAATTAAACCGTTTTTACACTAAAATAGTCTTTATTCAAAATGTAATTTTACGTACAGATTCATAACATTGATTTAGCTAACAAGCGTCTATATTGTGGGATTGGACAGGTACAGAATGAGATCAGTAAATTAAATGAGACGTCATTGAAAGTATATAGAAAAAAAGATATACATAAATGCATCAACAACGGAAAAACAAAATTGATATAGCGGAAATAAATCATGATCCTTGTTAAAAACACATTCTTTTTTATTTATAATATTGTTCCTAAATAATAACTGTAATAGATAATATAAATCAGTCTATTCTTGTCTACTCTCTCTATCCAGAAAATGTCAAATATTCCAAAAAATCATTTTTTTTTATATTTCCCAAGAAGAGGGCATATCTTTCATGTGCATCCTATTAACTGCCGTGTTTCATGACCCCCCCCCCCCCCCCCCCCCACACACACACACACCTACAATTATGAAATAAACATTTTATTTTTGAAATAGCTAGGATTAGAAATGAGCATTTTCTCCATTTGACATTATATATTACAGGGCTGCACAAGGTACTGAAAAAAAGGACAGTACTTTGACTAAATGTTTATCCTTGTGTCTGCCACTGAGGCAGATCCCATAGTTATTATACACATGACAAGTATGAGAACTTCTTAGTGATTCTTGATGATTGAACTCATTTCAAATCAGGAAGGTAAAGTATTGGCTGCTTATTTCTTTATGTATTTCTTTATTACAATATTCAGAACTTTTGTTCAGCATTGAGTTTACAACCTCACATACCATGGTTACTCACAGCACTATAGTGTAAGTTTAATATGTTATATGTACTACTTTTTCGAAAAGTTAATGACTGTGATAAAAAAAAAAAACAACAACAACACATAAATGTTTTTAAATTAGTAAAAATCATTTTAATACACTATAAATACACATATGCACAATATAGTATATAATTCTCTCTGATTTGGTAGTAAATTAGTTTATATAAAGGATGTAGATGGGCATGTTATATCATTGCTAAATTAAAGATAGTGTTCACTGTTTTTCTTGTAGATGCTCCTTTCCAACGTATGTTTTCCTGGTTCTTGTAAATATTTTTTTAATGGCACCATTCAATTTCAAATATACTATGCTGGTGGAAATGTGACGTCAATCAATTGCTCATGACACTGCTAATTGGCAAGGAATTGACTTCCTTGTTTCATTTGGAACAAGCGTATTTTTCAAACATTTTACACTTGCGAATTGGTACTCCATCTGTTTGACGGATGCTAAAGGCTACTGAAATTCCAAGCTATATGAAGTGCAAAAGGATAATGCAAAAATCATTTGAAATTTTCGTATTTACGCAGGTACATGTAGCGATGAATGCTACTAGAGTTTTTCAGGATGCCCTCTCTGATATCAGGTATCGCAACCTATCACTGTCCTTTAGAAGATATAAAAGCAGACATATCTTTAAAGCAGTGACATATGCAGCTCCAGATAATGCTTTATTGTATTCCCAAGAATATAACCTGGAATGATTCCTGATGCAGTAATTAAGAGCACTGTCCATCCACTGTCATAAAGTACTGAAATATAGGCGGGGTTGATTTAAATGAAAATCTTTGTTTTGTTTGGATAATACATACCATTGCATTCTACAGAAAATCGAATAAATTACCTATCAGTTAACAGATATCTTTAATTGATGAGCAAGCCTTTGCATTGTCAGATCCCTTGCTGAAAGAGCACTTACCTTTGATAATGCCAGGTGAGGCAACTGGCTGGTCATTAATCTGGAAGTGTATGTAACCTCTGTAATCTTCTTATACAAAACCAACCATTGATGCCCCAAAATTGCCAGACGTGAAGACATATGCCTGTATTTAAGCAAGATTCTGTAATATGACGCTGAATTTTTTACAGCCATATGCACAACTGATAATAATTTAGATGCTGCCAAAGTACAAGTTCTAAATCTGGCAAATATTTATTTGATACAAATCTGAACCTTTATTCAAAGTTTGCAATGTTTTTACATGAGACTTGGAAACCTTTCTTAGATTAAAATTTGTCCCTTTACACACAAAAAATCGTTTTTTGGGAAAAGAGAAAAGCATAATTACACATGTAAACTGTAAAAATTGTTATTTTCAACCCATTTTATATTCGCTCTTGCATCCTATAAAAAATTTTGCCCTTTTAAAATTTGCCCAGACACAGTTATATAAAAGAGATCTTGCTGCATTCACTGAATTTGCCCCATTTAAAATTCCCCCACTTCGACAAGCGCAAAATTGGAAAATTAAAACAGGGGCAACACAATTCCCTGTATACAGTGCTTACTTGTCTGTTGTACTGTAATAATACTGTAACTCCTCCAGCTTTACAGTGATCTGTAATACCATTGCTTTCACGAGAAACTCCCCACTGGATCGATTGTCTTTTTTTTTAAATTGTATGCACTAAGGCAATGTAGTATAATTAGTATTACAAGCTATATGAGACAGTAAAACAATGTTTACAACATCTATATACAAGTGAACTTTAATTAATGCAATAAGGGTATGAATCCAAATTTGTACATATGTCTGAAAAATTATATTGCTCTTTGAAATTGCTATTACCGTTATAGCTTAAATTTAGATAAAATTTAGTGCACTTAATAATTAAATGCATACAAGATCTAACTTATTTGTCCAATGGTGTGGTGTTTTTTCTTTGATGTTTCATGAGAGATATGTCATGTACAGTGATGATAAATTGGTTACTGCATGTGACAATTGTGAATATTAATTGGACCAACATACTGTCCAACATTGCTCAACCCCTTATATTAAATGCACAAGTAACTGGTTTCTTCCAGAGCCAAACACATCAGGTTAAAACATATTCAAGTATAATAAAGCACTGAAAATGTGAAATGAAACCTAGTTCTTGATTGTAAACCACTGTGCTTGATCCGTACTTTCCTATCAAAATAAATAAATAAATAAATAAATAAATAAATAAATAAATAAATAAAAAATAACACGAGTAAAAGTAAAGAAAACCAAAAATAAGACTGCCAAGTTTCACAGCTTTCTTTCTTCTCAGCATAAAAATATATTAAAGTATTACACTCCCACAAAAGATCACAGCTCATTCAGGATATGGAGGTCCATTAATGAATATTTGTCAGCGTCACATTAATTGGAGCTCAGCTCCATTCTGACAAAAGGGTTCAGTATGTGTTGTATCCCGTACATAATATAACTATAACTTTTTTTTTTAATTTGATGTGCTAAGTATTATGAGAGTAAATGTAACCCCAAGAATTTATTTTGTCACATCAATTTTATACCTGTACTTGAGTTGTCTTTGAGGATACAGATCATTCATAGTCAATATAGTTTTAGGTGCTGCTGACTCTGGTTGTTTAAGTCAAATGCAACTTTCCTCTGTCTTACTGGTTCTCTTGTACTACTTTGCTAGAAATAAGTCGTAATTTATACCATTGTGTATTATGAAAGAATATGTCATAATGATCAAACTTTAACCAAAACCTTCACTATACTACCCTCTGTAAATAGAGATCATGCTCTCTAATCTGAGGAATTTGTTGTCAATGATGAATGCAGATAGATAGCAAATATGTTTAGAAAATCTTTAGATTGGGAAATGAATGCTCCAAACATTGAATTTAAAATAGCAGATCCACAACAACTAAAATTCTATTAAAAAATAAAACGTATTCTGAATAAAACAAAAATACCCAACCAACGTTAATGCAGCCACTGGGTAACGTTTGTACCTATTGGGCACTGATCAGCTGCTGGTAAAACTCTTCCTTAATCTATTAATCAGCTGGTAATAACATCATTGCCCTCGGATTAAAGAAAATTCTGGTTACAAGTTAATGGGAATGATAATTAAAAAAAAAAACTATTTCATTTAGGTATGATATAAGACACTTCGATTTAAAAAAAAGAGAAAGAAAAAAAAAATAAATATGTGACTTTCTCTGACTTGTTTACCTGTAATTCGATCGAATTATTTGAAAGACAACACTAAATATTTTACCTCAAAGGTGGCTAAATTTTCATATTGACCACAAAAACAGTAATGATTATGATATTATTTAATGGTTCAATGATTACTTGTCAAAATTACATTAACTGACGTCCTAGCCAAATGCACTGAAAGGAGAGGGTTAAATAAGCATATTCAGTTGTACCCCTCTGGAAGTTCTTAATTTATTTAAGATTCGATGGAGAAAAAATGTCAGTCATACAGGGTCAATTAAAAAGAAAAGAGTGTATGAAAAAAAATAATAAAAAAATAATGGCGACCAGAGAGGAATCCCTGAACAAACCCAACCCTCCACTCCACCTCCAAGAAGGAGAATTTTCTAAACTCGTTTTCTTTTCATTTGTTGAGGGGCGGGGGGGGGGGGGTAGGTACTTGTCACAATTACATTAACTGAAGTCCTAGCCAAATGCAATGAAAGTAGAGGAGCCAAATAAGCAAAAAGTAGAATTTTCTAAACTCTTTTTCTTTTCATTTACTACAGGGGGAGGGGGGGGGGGGTAGGGACAGATGTACGAGGCATTTGCCTGTACTATGTTAGAAAGAAGTGGTGGTGGGGGAACATAATTAAGCCTTTCAATGAATAGTTTGATACCAAATTGATAACAAAATTTGTGCTGCAAGTTGGGGCAACCCCATCCTATTCCATGTGAATGTTATGACTGTTATGTCTATGCAATTGGAATATGCATGAAACTTAAATACTTTCTTTGAACTCTTTGTATTAATTTGCTTTTATTTACTTTTCAATCTACGTTTAGTCCAATCTAAATACAGAAAAAAATAATCTTATCCTTATGTTCACCTGGAAGGTCACGTGCGGGTGAACATAAGGTTTTTTTTCTATAATGCTAGATCTCAGCTAACTAGAGCAATAAAATTGTCGATTCATATCATAAAATGTTTTATTTTTAAGGTTCGCCTTCTATATCTGGCTTAAAGAAAAGGTTTCTGGGATTTTATGTTTACGTGTCAAACACAACAAACAGATTTGAAGGTCAATTATGTTTTCATGACAAAAACTACAGTCTGACATCGATATCCGCCGTCATAGATATACCATGTCCTATACATGGACAGTACGTCATCTATTACAACGAAAGACCACAGATTCCACAATATCCCACTCAGTTATCCCCTTATGCACACAATGAATTGTGTGAAGTGGAGGTCAATGGTATGATTCGATCATTTTATATCATGCATCTGTAACAAAGAAAGTATTTTTATAATAACTAAATATTTTGGTGTAATGAGAAATAATAATTATTTTATACTGTCCTACTCCACAATCATAATGAGTGTCTTATAGGAGGGGTGATCAAAAAGTTCTCGAACTATCTGTATCTTTACAAACCCACTATTCAGATCAGAGTGAAATTTGCAACCCAGATAGTCATAAACATGTTCTACAGATAGCAGATGGTACATAATGTATTGCTCCATGTTTGTGAAGTGACAATGTGAAAATTACGTCAATATGTAGGTGACTTGTAACAAAAAAAAATGGCTGACTTAGTCGTACTCGAGCAACGAAAGATTGTAAAGTTTAACGTACATCTTGGGAATTCCTTTGCAGTAACATATAGTAATTTGTACAATGTTTATGAAGACAAATGACTTGCCAGAAGTTGAATCATTAATTGGACTGATTTATTTAGTGAAGGAAGTGAGATGGTTAATAATGATGTTTATTCTGGTATCCAGTGAAAGTAGGCTGGGGAAGAGATTTGTCCGTAGCTGAGAAATTTGTTAAGAAAGATCGCTAAGTTACAGATAGAAATGCAGTTGAATATTTAAATAATATTATAATTATTAAATCCCTAAAGTACCATTTACTTTAGACTTTAAACATATCAGATATGATAAAAAGAAGGGGTCTATACTTTATCCACAATGGAAAACGAGGTACCCAAGACAGAGAAGTCGGGTTGTGATAGATACCATGTTCAAAGTGGGAAAAGATATCTTTATCAACCCTTCCTATCGCCGAGATTTGGCTATTTATGACAAATGGACAATTCTTGTTTCAAAAAATAACTTGAATGGTAAGAAATATAAGACTCGTAAAAATAGTCTAGCTTCTGTGAACAGAACGCTGCGAAGGATGTCACGTGACCGCCTGGATCACATGATTCGCGCATGGGCAGAGCGGTTGCAGATGCGCATTAAAATTGAAGACGACTACTTTAAATAATAATAAACATCGAAATCTAATTTTATTTCTTTTATGGAAGTTATTCAATTAGTTCGCAAACTTTCTATCACCCCTCTTACTACAATGAAAAAGGTGAAGATAACAAGAAATGTTCTATCTCATAAAAACTATAAACAACATAATTCTGTGAATACGTCATAAAAGGACATCCAGAAATTCCAGAGGTCGGATCAGGTACCTAAGAGGTGTCAAATAATTTAGTTGCCTTTGTCGCCTTTAGTCAGTAAAACATCCACACATGGAACAGACGTGGCAGACATTGTTGTTGTTTTTTTTTTCAAGTTTATTTGGATAAATCAAGTCGACATATGACTGGAAATAACTATTGTTAATTGATAAATATAGTCGACATAGCTAAATGAAAATACATTTCAGATATATATAGATTAAGCAAATAAACAACTGTACATAGTAAAGAGTCACAAAAGAATGAAGTAATATTAAATGTCAAGAAATGCACTCCTTGAAACTAGATTATGATTTCTTTAATCATAAGGGTGCGAGGAAAAGGGATACTATGGACCAAATTGTTCCCTTCCCTGTCCTGGGAACTGTAAACATCCTTATTGTCACATAGAGACAGGTGCTTGTCAGGAGTGTAGGACTGGGTATCAGGGACTTCAATGTGAACTACGTAAGTAAACAAAACTAAACCTATTTAGATGATCAATATATAAACCCTTACATGAAATCTGCGCATGCTTTACTTATTTTTAAAGGCCTGGGTATCGTTTCACAAAAGCATCGTTAGCTTTACTTAGTACATAAGTGCAACGTAAGTAATGCGTAGATAAATTTCGGCCTTTCACGAAAGCGTCTTAAGTCATGTTGCGTCGAACGTAACGACGTAATTTTACATCACCTCGGAGGTGACGTAAAATTACGTCGTAACGTGAGTACTTGAAAATGGCAGGTTTTTTGCGGGTGTACGATCAAGCGTCTCGGAAAAGTTTTCAGCGGCAGCGTGTATTTAGAGACAGGTTGAATCCACTGAATTCATAAAGTGATGACGAAATTATTAAGAGGTTCCGTTTGGACAGAATGTCGATCTTAAGAATTTTAGACATTGTTGGAGAGCAGTTGGAAAGACCGACACAGCGATCACAAAGTCTGCCAGCATCCCTACAGCTCTTCGCTGCTCTAAGGTTTTTGGCTTCGGGAACAGAACAGAGAGTCATCGGTTATACTCTTGGAATCTCAAAGTCATCAGTGTGTAGGTCGGCGAATGTTAAAATTATGAAGTAAATTTCTTTTTAATTTGATAAACATGAAACATTATTAGACTGTATATTAGAAAAATACACATTAGTTTCTAAAAGATGTGGCTATGTGTGTATAGTATTTTTTTTTAAATTGACATTAATTATTCCTATGCATTACCCTATCATTTATACAGAGCATTCCTTTATTTTTATGTCATCAAAACGTTAAGATTTGAATATAATTTTGCAAGCAGAACAACGTGCAGTTTATCTAGCAGAAACACCTGAGATCATACTCTGTTTGAAGATCAATTGACAAAGTAGTCGAAGTTTTATCCACATCTTTGAACACCATCAAAGAGCTAAATCCACGGAGTGCCAAAATCGGTTCAGTCATCAAAATAAATGAAACTTTCTCACATAATACTCTAGGATTTGTTTGTTGTAAAACAATTTATTTTTTAACAATATCTTTTCTGGTTTTATTTTTACAAACGTTTAAACTTAGTATTGTTTTCCTTAATAAAACTATCACGTAATTACGTTGACGTTACTTACTTTAACGTCCTGACGTTGACATTTTGCATAAGAAAGTAACACATGTACGTTAATGGAATAAAAATCACCAAAATAATTATGCTCTTCTTTAAAATTTTAGGAACATTTTATTATGAATTTTTCAAGAAGTTTTGAAAACTTTTGGGTTTATATTTAAATTGAATCTATTTGTATTTTAACGATATATTTATTTACAACAATTGTCTCGTAAAATCGTGGATATATGTAGCACGATTTAAATGAAATAGGGGACACATTAAACTGAAAATTACAGCAAGTGTTAATCTATCATATTTGAGTTGAACTGAATTTTGTAGTAAAATATACACTTGTAGCCATGGATAAAGATTTTATCGTTCTTTAATGTGTTGTAGTATGGTCCTATGGCGTACATACAAAAAAGAGGTTTTATAAAAGAATTCACAAGTGCTCTTTAATAAGGAATACATAAAATTCAAAAAAAAGTTGCATTAAAAATGAGAATGTTTGAAGTGACCATCTATTATATTGTCATTCTGAAGATTTCACTACACTTTCGAAATTTGAGGCATTTCCCGGACATTTCAAATGAATTTGTATTAAAATACATGTACATGATCGAAATACACGAAAAATGATGAAGTTTGAGGGCTTTCCACAAGGTAGTATATTTAGGAAAGAAGCCACTACAGACTTTTGAGCAAGTTAAGATTGATGCAAAGCATCAAATCGGCAGCCAAAAAAAAAAAAAAAAAAAAAAAAAAAAAATGCATGTTAGCTAAGGAATAACTGTCTAAATTTTTGGTTTCATGATGTGATCAATCGATTGGCTTGCGTGATAATTTGCATAAACGCCTTCACTAATAAATATTAATCAATCGTTTGTCTTAAAATGCCAACGGCAATTTCTGAAACGCATGTAAGTATGGAATATTGTCCAAAGTTAACCATTTTTATGACGTTTGTGATGCCTTCCTATGCTCATCTTCGCTAGCTAAGGGTTTCTGATCCGAGAGTCCCTTGGCTAGCGAAGATGGTCGATGCTAACTTCTCGACATACATAATTTATGTTTTGTAAGGTGGTGAAACAATCATTATATATAAGTCCTGGAAGTTGCATCTGATGTAATCAACTTGTAACGTAGCTATTTCGACTCCGTCACTGATGTACACGTTTTTCGGGTGATCTCCCTTTGATTACATAGTGACCATGGTGACGAGGAGTCGGTAGTTTGGAAAACATGAAATACGATTAAATAGGCTAGGAATTATTATTTTAAACATTTCAGCATATTGATGAGTTAAACAGAGATAAGCTACGTAAGGAAAAAGTCTTGGGCCAGGACTAAGGAACGTAGTACACGTACATGTAATACAAAAAGTCGACATATATTATTGCATCTGCATGCGGTCTCGTTTAACAAGAGTTTTTCGTACTTTTTTGCACCATAACACAACATAACATATTATAGACAGAACATTAACATTTCTTAACTTTTTCGTATTTACAAAAGCAATACAAAATCTTTTTCTTTTTAATTTATGTGAGGTATACCCCCTAATTTCCACTGTGGTAGTCGGTGCTTAGAGATTGGAATCGAACTAAAAGTAAAAATTTCGATTTGGCCACACCCCTTGAACAAAATTAAAATATGCTCTACTTATTCATATTTTAATTCTTTTTTAATGGTACAAGACGTATTTTCTGAAAAGTTATCAATATTTCACGGAAAATGGTCATCATCTCCTTTAGATCTTCTACCAAATGTCTGAAGATCAAATAAATGTATTTAAATTAACATAAAGGAAATATCTTAAATAAATGAAACGTTTGCTTCGCTTTCTCTTTTTTAATTCTAAAAATAGAATGCGGTAATAAGACATATGGGGATAGCTGTCGGGAGAGATGTGGAGCTTGCTTGGAATATAAACAATGTCATCATATCAATGGTTCATGTCTTCAAGGTTGCGATGCTGGGTATATGGGAGTGTTCTGTATTACAGGTATTACAGGTAGTTTTATTGTTATTTCTTTTTCAAATTTTATAAGGACATTTATATTCAAAACTAACTGACAATACAATTTGGATTTCAAATCAGGTTGTCCGAGTGGAAAATTTGGTGTAAATTGTATTAGGAGCTGTAGTGAAAACAAAAAAATTGTAAGAAAGAAACCGGAGAATGTGAAGGTGGTTGTCAGCCTGGCTGGGAAGGACCTCAATGCCAAAATGGTATTAATGTACATGCTTATTATGCATAATCGGCTTGTGTAAATAAGTACAACACTGTAGAGAACTAAAAATATTTCATTGAGAATTATAAGGCAAAAAGAACAATTTTTTATGCCCCCGTAATCAAAGATTCGAAAGTACATAGTTTTTGTCCTGTCCGTCCGTCGGTCTTTCTGTTTGTTTGTCTGTTTGTCCGCAAAAAGTTTAACCTTGCCCATAACTTTTGATTGGATGGAGCATTGACTTTTCATTTTTCACAAGTGTATTCCTTAAGACAATTTCTTTCCCCGGGTACATATTTGTCCTTTTGACCTTGACTTTGCAGTTTGAGGCGCTTTGCAAAAATTTATTAAAAATTAACCTTGGCCATAACTTTTAAATAGTTGGAGCTAGGGCTTTTGTACTTCACATGTGTATTTTTTTAGGTAAGACCTTTCCATGGGTTTAAATATTTTTGACCTTTTGACCTTGACCTAAGAGATTAGGCCACTTTTGCAAAACTTTAACCTTCGCCATAACTTTTAAAATGTTATAACTAGAACCTTCATGTTTTACAGGTGTATTTCTTGTGACAAGATCTTTCTTTGGATACCAACAATTTTGATCTTTTGACCTTGACCTTCGACCTACGTTTTAAAAAAAAATTCTTTGACCAAAACCTTTGAACTGTTGGAGCCAAGGATTTCACATTTCATATGTGTATTTCTTATGACAAGGCTTTCCCCTGGTTACTATTATTCTTGACCCTCTAGCCTTGACCTTGAAATTTCACCCACTTTTAAAAAAAAAAACCTAAACCTTGGCCATAACTTTTGAATGGTTGGTGCTTGGGCTTTCATTATTCACAGACATATTCACTGAGACAAGCGCTTTCTTTAGGTATCAACATTTTATATCTTGTGACCTTGAAGTTTGAATTACTTTTGAGAAACTTGAACCTTCGCCATAAACTGTCATACGGGGTCATGAGTGTTCAAGAAACGCATAATGCTTTTAAAAAAATATTTCTTTTTAAAACCTATAATATTTTTTGTTATATTATCTTTAGAATGCACTTATAATATGTATGGCAGAAACTGTAGTAGACGTTGTGGTAACTGTCGAAATGGAGGAAAATGTCACCATATTAATGGGACATGTTCAAATGGATGTATCCAGGGTTATAAAGGCATTTTTTGTTCAACAGGTATAATAATTATTTCAACACATATTATTTCTGAGAAAAAAAAAAGAATTTGTGCGATTCTGTGATAGAGGTACATTAATATTTTAATATGTTACTGAAACATTTTAAAAATGGTTAATTATTAATTTAATTAAAAGTATGTGGCCCAGGAACTTATGGCTTCGACTGCTTGAAGAACTGCAGCAGACTTTGCGTTAATAATTCATGTGACCCAATTAACGGAAATTGTCGTGAGCTGATGGTAAAACGGTCCAGCGGATTCTGATTACAAGTTTCCTTTAAGCAAACTGAAAAAAAAACACACCTTACTATTGTAATAATTAGTCAACATATGTGATGCACTCAGATACAATTATTTATTCCAAAAGATAATAAGTATCTAGAATAGGTAAATTTCATTCCATATAAGTAAAATGAATATGATTAACTTTATAGAGGTAAAGCTCAACTTACCTCTTTTGGAAAATGATCTTTATGTTTGTCAATATTTCAGAAAACGTCTCCTCAAAACAGCGATGGTGATAATATTCGGGCAATCATTGGTGGAATTTCTGGATTTGCTATTGCATGCATTGTCGTTGTAATAGCATTTATTACTTTAAAACGGTTAGCATACTTTTGAAAACAGTTTCATTTTGGCATTCTTTTGTTATACATGTAGGTCTTTTCCTTGTTGTATTATCTCATCCATTTCAAAATTGCTCGTTTTCTCGTTTTCTTTTCGTCTTTATAAATAGAAGGCGCAGTTTACAGAAGAATAACAGAGGCAATGCAGACAAAGACAGCCAAAAAAATTGTGAGTGATTAATTGCTTTTCTCATTGTTTCTGATTCCTTTTTACAGGATAGTCATACAAGAATAAATTCAATTTTATATTTATGATTTAGCTAAAAGGAGAGTGCTTGATACAGATTTCTCAAGTATTGATTCAAAACCTGAGACATCATTTGATCATGGAAACAAAAGCATTAAAACCAAAATGTTAAAACCACTAAACATTAAAAAACTGAATGATGAAGCTGATGAAGATGTCGACGAGCAAAAGCACTCTGAAAATCCTTACGGAGATTTTTATGCTAATGAAGCAGCAATTCGGGACATACCTCTAGATCAGCTGGAAACCTATATAGCGGAAAAGAGAAAGAAAAAAGATGATGGGTTTCAGAGAGAATATGCGGTAAGCAATCACCATTTAAACGCCCTTAAAACCACAGATGGATGTTTTTTTTCAGAAAAAAAACAAAACAAAACATCTTTTTGAATAATGTTTTAGGAAACATTGCCTTTTCTTTATGGTAAAAAAATATTAGAAATTAAAAAAAAAAAAAAAAAAAAAAAAAAAAAAAAAAAAAAAAAAGCAAAACATTGAAACAAGACTTTTATTTAATTTTATTTTTATTGTATTTTGATTGATTTTTTAAGACATTACCATACGGGGAAAGATACAAGTGTGACGTTGGAAAGAATAAAGAAAATATGGTTAAAAATAGATTTAAAACAACGTTTCCATGTAAGTATTGAGTATTAGAGGATTTTTTTTTTTAAATTTCGCTTCCACAAGTGTATGTATATGTATTTCATTGGTAGAATTGGTTCAAGTATATGTATTTCATTGGTGGAATAAGTTCACCATTGTAGCTATTTTTTTCTTATTTAGATGACCACTCAAGAGTAATACTTCGAACTGAATCAGGATCTGACTACATTAACGCTAATTACATAGAGGTAAAACATACTTATGTCAACAAATACCCTTAAACCATAGATGCCAATCATACTTTGATCAAGAACCAAAACGATAATCACCAATTTAGTACATGTATAATAACCATTTTGCAAACACGTATACATAACTTTATTTTTTTTCTATCCAAAATCGGGGTTTAGAAAACTGAATTATATTATACCTTTCCAAAAGCAATCGGTTTTTCATTTGAAGTGTATTTAGAAATCTTTAAAATTTAGTTTTTATTTGTATGTGTTAAGCGTTATTTCTGTTTTTAAAGCTTCTCTTTTTTAAATGGCTTTCAATGCAGGAATCAATAATTATCGTTGTTTTTTAGGGTGCAGAGCAAGGAAAACAATACATTGCCACACAAGGTAAATTAATTTGAAAACACAATAAAACTTTGTAAAATGTTTAATGATTGCAGAGATGTATCCATTGTTTTGCGACTTACATTTTTAAACGTATTCTTGGTGAATTAATCTGTATAAAAAGACTACTATATACATGTATCTTATGTTACCCAGTCTTTATTTTGAACACTTTTATTTATGTCAGTATGTAATTTTTTCGAATTTTATCTTCAATATCTTTTTTATGTAAATTTCAATTTTATATGTGTAGGACCGAGACAGAACACGGTTGTTGATTTCTGGACAATGATTTGGCAAGAACACGTCACAACAATTGTTATGCTGACCAACCTTAAAGAAGGAAATAAGGTAACATTGATCTTAAAATCAAATGGTTTCTTTGTCATTTATTGTTTACTTATCTAATAAATTTGAATGTTTATTACAAAGAAAGAAAGAAAAACGAACAAAGAACAAACAAAATTATTTTAAATTCAATTTTACTTGTTTTAATTCATGTCTAGACCAAATGTACCCAGTACTGGCCGGATGCAAACAAACACATTAACTACGGAACTGTGTCTGTGAAAATGATTGAGGAAAAAGAGTACGCATTCTACAATATTCGTATACTGAATGTGAATCATAAACAGGTAAGATAGTAAAGAGAATGCATGAATAATATTCCTTCATTACATCAGTTTCATAGGTAACATGTCACGCTTGTCAGATTTGGTGTTAAAATTGCATAAAGATCCAGGTAACTACAAAGACATTAACGAAAGTTATATGTGATGCAGGAAACAAAAAAAAAAACAAAAAAACAAAAAAAAAAAAACAAAAACAAAAACAAAAACAAAAACAAAAAAAAAAAAAAAACTTAAAAAAAAAAATAAGATATTTTTTTTTAAACATCGCAGTCAAGAAATTTAGCATCAGAACACAATATTGCAGAGTAAAATCTATTTCTTTTAAAATTAATCTATTGTGTTGAAGTTTTTCAACCATAATGTAAGACAGCCAATTCGTTATATATATATATATCTCGAACTCAATGATGATAATGTTGGTAAAGGGTTGCAAAAGGCTGAGAAATAATTCCTTTGATAAGACTTGGTTTATGCATGTAGATACGTAAATGTAGTTTTACAGCAGCAAAATCCGCCTACATAATCAAATGATCTACGTTTTTGTTACACACAATCTTTAATAGGTGTACGATACGATTATCTGTTGTGTCAATCAGTTATCTTATTTGTCTTTGCCCAATGACTCTCAATGAAGCATCCGCAACCGAACTTCCTTTAAAGTGATTTTGATTATTCAATCATCTAAATACTTGATTACTAAACATTATGATCTAAAAGACTATGGAAACTTTGCCTCTTGAACTACTGGCATAATTAATTATAAGAACTCTCAAATAGCTAGTTTAGGTTCATTGCGAACCTAAAATGACGAAATCTCCTTTAGTGGGAATTATTTTCATAGTAAGAATCCCCCCTTTGCACCTTTAAAAAATACCAATAAATAAATGTTATTCCACTAAGGCTAACTCCGTCCACAAATATTATTTTGGGAATAAAATAGATGAGAATTAAACTATACCAACTGAAGTATTTTACAAATTACAGATAAAAAGGTCACGTGTGGTGACACAATACCATTATACTGCTTGGCCAGATCATGGAACTCCGGATCCTCTCTGTCTTGTTGTCTTCCTTTATCATGTGACGAGAACAGAGACCAATCAGAGAGACTATCCAGCAGTAGTCCACTGCAGGTAGAACTGAATAATGAATTGTTTTAAAAATGATATTATTAATTATTTACCACCTAATAATTACATCAGAACATATAGTATTTATATGTTAAAGGATGGTTTAGATAATGATTAATAATTTTAATCTTGTCCTATACAGAAAAAAAAAATTATATGAGTTCAAAAACAAATTGTTAACTCGATGGTTTGAATCGATTGTATTTTTGAGTGTTTTCAGTGTAATATACTTATTATATTTAAAAAAAATATTTTCCTTACTTCAGTGCAGGAATAGGAAGAACGGGGACATACATAGCAATAGACGTCTTAAACCAGATAGGAAGAAATACAGGGAAAGTCAACGTAGCGGAATATGTCAAGAAGATGAGAGAAAACAGGATGAATATGGTCCAGACCTACGTTAGTCTTATTCCATTTCTAATTTAAAAAAAAAAAAAAAATTATTATGTCTTGATATCCGTGTTTCAATTTACCACTTAAATTCGGAAAAAATTAATGGAATGAGGTAAGTATCCCCACCAAAATTAAAGCCCCTTTATTTATTTTTATACTTTCTTCTACAATTTTATACCTATCTTTTGTTTCTATATCTCTTTCCTTCAAGTGACCTTCTGAATAAATGTGCAATTACTTGAAGTCAGAAATGAAAGTGTGAAAATTGCATGTAGCGAAATAGTATGCAAAGCGTTCAGAAATGAAAACGACTTAGTGATCGTAATTCATTAGAGTCATGAACTATATTTTTCAAGTAAAGGTCATAATGATGATAATAGTTAGTTAGCTTGTAAATTTCAAGAACTTTTTAAAGTTAAATAATTTATAGCTGTAATTTTGAAATGTCAAATATCTTAAACAAAAACAAAAAAAAAAAAAAAAAAAAAAAAAAATATTTAAAAATAAATAAATAAATAAATAAAAACAAAGCAAAACAAAACAAAACAAAAAAAAAAAAAAAAAAAAACAAAAAACAAAAAAAAAACAAAAAACAAAAAAAAAAACTGAAAATAATACATGTAGATTGAATTATTTTTTTCTCTTTAGATTTGTCATTACAAATTTATATTTATAGGAGCAATATATGACCATTTTCCTTGCTTTGAATGAAATATTGAAATCACCAGTAAACATCAGTACTATTGAAGAATTTACTAAAAATGCTAAAACCATGACGATGGACGAACCAGCCAATCACAGTATATTACGAAAAGAATTTCAGGTACATATTATATTGACAATAACTTCTCTTTGAAAAAGAAAGAATAGTAATAAGAGCAATGTTTTAGATAATAATAATGATTTTATGATGGTAAATACTTTGATTGAAATAAGGAAAGGTCTGAGAGAATGAAAGATAGGTTAATACAAATATTACAATATACGTCAGGATTGGTAATGCATAAACAGTCTGAGTACATCAAAAGAATTATATGACAGATGAGGAAAGTCACATCGCTATTTATTTTAAATTTGAAGTATTTTTTTTTTCTATGGATACACCGCACATCTAGATTTTTAAAAAACCGATTGTCACTTTAAAGAACAAAATTTCTAAATTATTTTGTTTTAAATCTATCTCTCTGCCGTCTGCTTTTATATGTTTTTTTTCTCTCAGAATAGATTCTTTCTTTTAAAATTTCCCAAGCCAATTTCAACAAAACATGTTACAATATACCTTTTATATTTATATATTTGTTTATATTTATTTTTGAAGAATTACACGTAAGTACTGAAAAATGGAGATCAACGCCTTCCTTACAAGAAATACTGAAATAGTTGAAACAAGATGATTTCTTCTTGATGATTTATATCTTTATCGCTATTGCAAATGCTTTTTTTTTCATCAATATCATTTCATTTCACCAGTTTTTCCATCTGTTTCTTTTATCAGCTTTTAATGAAAATACGACCAGCATACAACGATGATGATTTCAAGCTAGCAAGTGAAAGCTGTGGGGATATATCCTCTAATGGTATTTTGCCCCGTAAGTTATATTTAAGAGGTTCATTCTGATATAAATTTCAGAACTATGATATAGGTCGGCAAACATTAAACTTCATCTATAAGCTTAAATATCAGTGTACTGATAAATATAAAGCTGGTGAACTTTCTATTCAAAACCCATGGTATAGATCTTGAGGAAAGAAAACATTTTCGGGCCACCTAAGTGACTAATGTGATCTACATTTATACGTCTCCTTTTTTCCCGTGTCGTCCTTTTCATGGAGAATAGTCGTATCAATTTTAAACAATTTTGATGCATGGTATATATTTGGAAAAGAGGAACAAAAATTGTGAATTGCATGATCTCTGCCTCATTGGAACTTGTCAGATATGGCCAAAAAATAAAAACCCATGTAATCTTCAGGAATATGTTCCTTTACTCCTGGACAAGTAGGCGGCAAACTCTACTGCATTCTTATACATGTAATGTTAATTTTACTAGAATTCGTGTACTCTTGGTTTAGGGTCCAGGCTTTAGGATGGATTAAGTTGATAATATATGGATATATTCTAAATTGCAGAACCGTTTCCTCTTTGTTCTTGAATATTTAGATGCCATCTGTTTACAACAGTCATGAGTATTTAGATTTTTGTAAAAAAAAACAAATGTGAAATCCGTGACCATGCACAGGAAGAAACTAGACCTTTCAGTTAAAACTGAAAGGCGGCTTTCAGTGACTTTTCACTGGCCATTCAGTCACTGAATGACAGGTACATTTCAGTGACCTTTCAGTTACCTTTCTGCAACAATTCAGGAACCTTTCAGTCTCCATTCAGCGGACACATTTCAGCTATCTATCAGTGATTTTCCATCGCCTTTCAGTGACCTTTCCGTCGTCTTTCAGTGACCTTTCCGTCATTTTTTAGTGACCTTTCAGTCGTTATTTAACGGCCTTTTCATCGGCTTTTCATTAGTTTATCAGTAATTATTCTTTAAAAAAAAATAAATAAAACTAGTCACATATTTAAACGTTTTTGTTTTATTATTGTGATAAAATTCAGATCCGTTTTATTATTGTGATAAAATTCAGATACGTAGTACTGGTAATGGTTAGATATTCAATTGTCTTTAAATTATTTACTTAAATGTTAAATTGTTATTATTTAATATAACATTTATGTCTATATATGATATTATTAACATTGAAGATTACAATTCAACAGTGGAATTATGAAATTCAAAATAATTTTCGAATTTCTAATTTGTTTCGTGAAAATTGAGTAAGAAAAAAAAATAGTCAAATGATGAAAAATAATATTCGTATCAATTTAATTAGTGGGAATAGAATTGTCTTATTTTTCTTCTTATTTTAAAATCTCTAAATATGTGACGAATATTTTCACAAGCTCATTTAATTTGATAATTGTTAAATGAATAAACAGACAGTCCATCGGAAAAAAAAATCGAGAATATCGGTCAAAATGCTCTTAAAATAAAGAAGAAAAAAAGTTTTCTTTTTTTCAGCTTTAAAATAGTTTTTCATTATTTTATATCCATCTAAAACAGTATATAATGCGGTTAGTTTTTATGGAAATATCTGATTATGAAAAACGAGACAGAATTAATTATTTATGTCTTTTCAAGAAGAAACTTCAATATTGTAATTTTTTCTTAATTGTTAATATCGCATAATATTTTAGCTTCTAAAAGATATCGTTTTAAAATTATTTTACATCAACAGACATAATTATTTATGCCTCTTGTGGAAAAACCTTAATATTGTAAATTTTGTTTCTTGTTTGTTAAGGTATGTCACTCGTGAAATTTGTTATATCAAGGATTTTTTAAGAAGTATATTTTGGATAAGTACTCATATAGTATGACTCAAAATTGCAGAGAAAATGGGGGGTCAGTGTGCATCTAACTGAGCTACGGTACAATCAAGATGACCTTTTTGCACTTGAATTGTAACTCGTTGGTTAATCACTTAAACCGCTATCATATTTTATAAGATGTAATCATGGCTATAAACAATCTTATTTTACGTAAAATAATTTGAATAATATTTATCATTGAACAAATCATGCAAATTAATGCGCGTAAATTATTGTGTGATCTTTTTGCACTAAAAAAAGTTTCATATTTGGGTATTAAAAATCTAAATAGGCAATAGAATATTTTCTTGTATCAAACTTTTTACGACTTAAGTGCTGATCGGTCAAAAGTATCGAGTAGTTTAAAATAATGAAAGAAAAAGTTGGGGCCAGTGATGTAAATTTTGAAATAGTGGTCAAAAATATGCGATTTTCAGGCAAAAAACTGTGTAAATTTTATCTCGACTTCCTTGATATATCTTCATTTCTTGGATGTTTGTTGAGCGAAGGTGTAAATTTTGTTATAAAAATATAAATTGAGACATATATATTTTATATTCTCTGAGTGAAAATATGTGAGGCTAAAATTCCAAGATATTAAATTTAATAAATGTGTGGATTTGCAGAATTTTCTGCTTAATATCCTTCCGCCACAAGAAATAGTCCCTTATAAATCTTGCTTCTTTGTGAATTTTTGAGCAGTTTTTTAATTGAATGTTGAACATTTTACATTGTTTAATTTAAATATGTTATAAAGATTGAATTGTAATAAATAGGTTTTAAGTAAGAGGTTCTGACTGAAATTTTCTAAAAGGCTGACGAGTGACATACCTTAAAATCGCTTTAAAAATTTACAATGTTTTTCAGGGTGAAGATCCATCTTGAATTATTTCTTTTGAGAAAGAAAAAAGCAGGTGTCCGTCCCCGATAATTGTCATTATCCCAATAAGAGATGTGTATTTAATTAGTCAGCCCCAAAAATCCGCGCAATTAACATAGAATATACAAAATGTATACAAGATACACACACATTTCTAGCTCCTCGATACAACAGGTGAACTAAGTGTCCCAATTCGATTTCTACAAATTTATTGACTTAAAATCACGTTTTATTCAGGGCGTAATGGATAAAGTCGCGGACTATCACGAGGGAAGCCTCGGTTCGACCCCTGCTTCGTACACGATTTTTTTTCTTATATTCACTTTTTTTCATTTTTTTTAAATTCGGAAATAGATTAATCAAATACCATTATAATAAGAAAACGTGAAATAAAATTCCTAGGTTAAAGAAAGCCTACTATCAATAAAAAGATTCAACTGAAAGATAATTGAAAGGTCACTGAAATGTATCCGCCATTCATTCGACTGAATGGTAACTGAAAGACCACGGAAAAAAGTTATTGGAAAGGACTTTTTCAGTGACCTTTCAGTGGGCATTCAGCTACCATTCCGTCGACTGAATGGTGTAATTTCATCCTGTGATGGGTCGTAAGCAGCGTAAAGTCGGGGCTTAATCAGTCGTATACTGTGGAAAAGCATTGTTTCTTGAGGTCCACTGTTCGATGAATTTACTGGTACCCTTACCCAAAGAAGTTTATCCCTACAAAAACAAAAATACCCAAGGTATCGATTCATTGAATGTTTTGTATATTCAATTTACCCACAATATTACTCCCCAAGACCAGTAAAGTTCGGTCCAAAGAACTTAATGTTAACGAATGAGAATATTTTCACTGCATTGAAAGTGCATTGAAGTTTTCTAAATTGTACAAATGATGGGCCTCGGCCAATGCCCAATTGAGGGATTTAATTTGGTATTATATAAAAATGCATCGTTAAAACTGTTCTTCTTTTCTTAAGGATATACATTTGGCAAACTGATCATATGACAACGAGTACTAAATTTTAACAACAATGTAGTTTCACGTCCTCTGGGTCCATTTTTGTTCGGACCACAGAGTATGATTAATTTGGTAAACGTGGAATTTGCTTTGCATCTTTGAAAAATTTCGAGACATAGGTATTGATTTGATATACTTCTAAATTATTAATAGAAACAGTAAGCCCTCTCCCAAACTTTTAAATTCTATTGCCCAGGTCCAAGGTGTGGCCAAGTTGTTCATAAGTTGAAAGTACGTATACACTGCATCTGTGACATGTTCTCCATTTCCATTGGATCCATATATGTAGTTGGACATGATTGTAGTAAGCAGGTAGCCTTCGACAAAAAAGTTGCGTTTTTTTTTCTTTCCCAGGGATAAACATACCCAAGTGTGTGTTCAAATTGGCAAATTATAAACTTTATTATATAAAGCATCAGATCTTCACTTCTGGGCAAGTTATTTAAATGAAAAGATAATACCAAGTTCACTTTGATTTTCATTCTCTCGATGACTCCAGAGTTCAAGTTTAAATGTTGGCTGGAGTTGCCATATAGAGAGAGAGAGACTCAAGATACTCCGGTGACTGTCAAGTTTATGGATCAGTTGTTTTACTTTTAATATACTTTCGTAATTTTGTAGAAAATGTTATAATTTTTTTTTTCTAAAACAGTGGATAAATACAGCGTTCATCTGTCGTCTGTTGTCCATAAACGAGGAAACTTCATCAATGCAGTAACTGTTCCCGTAAGTATTAAATTTCATAATATTTGAAAATTTAGGTAGCATGTTAAAGGGGGAGGGGGGGGGGGGGTCGATAAGGCTGTTTTTCGGCCCCTCAAGAAATATAATGAAATTGTGATATGTTGTAGATAAAAGTGTTATCTTCCAAAAAATATGAAAAAAAAAAAAATTATACTGCACATTTTCTGGTCACGTGATAATTAAAAATTTAAGTATACCCTCTTCCCTAGATTTTTGGAGGCGTCATATTTAAAAGGGGTAGTGGAGTTTATTTAACGTCAAAATCATAAATGAAATATTACAAATGTGAATACAGGCATCAAATAACCAATTTCAATATTTTTCTTTACAGAAAATTAATGATATTTATTTTATTTGAATGCGTTTTAAGGTGCAAGATTTTTCTCGTGTTTTAATTGTAACTCTTCATCCAAAGAGGATGAATGTAACATATAAAACGTATATGAATAATAAAGACAGGAATTTTCAAAAAAAAATATTAATCGATAGTTTATACTTAAACTTAATAATCAATATATAACATTTTCCCGTACGTAGAAAAGTAAATGTAAAGATATATAGACAAGAGATAGATAAACATAAACTGTAATTGACAGGTGTTTGACACTGTTTGCAACACATTTTTGTCAACTAAAGTTATTGTGCTAATTATAGTATTAATAAAATGTACCGTAATATCATTAAATTGAATTTTTAAAAAAATTGAAATAAACAGATTTCGGAATTCGGTACGATTAAAAAATGCAGCTGTTTATATTTTTAAAGTATATTTAAAAGAATCATTCTGCAATGTACATTGTATTTAATAATACCAAGCGTATTACTACCAGTCAAAATATTTCATCAAGATAGTAATTATTAGTCCCATACCGATGAAGCCGGAGGAGTCTATAGGTTTCCACATCGTCTGTCCGTTGTCCGTCCGTCCCTCTGTCTATCTGTCAGTCTGTTCCACTTAGTTTTTCGCACTTTACAAATTAAAAAAAGGGGGGTTCGGTGTTTTTTTGTTTTGTTTTTTCTAAAAAATAAAAATTGCATATATTGAGCTGATTTTTGTTTTGGTATATGAGTTATAGATCAAGTTGGCATTTTCTTCCGCTTCAATGATTTTTCAAATAGGGCATTTTCAATTTTTAATGGAAACCAGGTTATGCTTGGTGTGCCGATAGTGGACTATTAGTGCTAATGCAGTGCTTACAGAATGCGTGAATATATAGCCAAATGACAAAAAAAAGTTAAATACATTGAGTGCATGTCTTCTATTCATTCTTAAACTTAAAAGTATTTACGCACTTAAAGAGATGCATTATGTTTTCAGCAAAAATGAGACAATTCAGGAAAGCGAGGACCTACATGAAATTCCTCGCGCTTCCCAACTTCCTTTTGATGCTTATGTTGTTTCACCAACTTTAGTCACTATTTGATTTGCTAGACCATAGCCGCAATTTAAAATACATTTGTAAATACCAAATGTATGTGTTAAATCATATCCTGCAGAAACGTACAAATCAACATCCAGTCTTAAAAGTATTCTACGTTTCCTACATGTAGACCACACAGAAATATATGTGAACCTTCTCTAACAGATTGAAGCGAGGAGGGTTTCTATTCAAAGGAATGGCTATAACCATATCCTTGATAAAGAACGTTAATGAATGGACTAATCCTCAAACTTCTCTTTAGTTCAGTCAGTCATTCGGAAAATCTAAGATTCGGCATCTGTAACAGTTCTGGTAATGTGAAACCCTAAATGCATCATCGGTGCATATTTCTTCAAGATAGGGATTATAATTACATGAAAATAAGACATGCTCCAAAATATATACCCTGAGCATTCATCAAGAAAATCAGATCTAGCGTCTGAAGCAAGTCTGACAGTGTGCATCCGAAGATGCATCATGAAGCACATCTTCTCAACAAGTGCTTATAGCTGCACTGCTCCATAAACATTAACCTGCATGCTTTAAAAACATTAACCTGGACATTCTTATACTGAAAATGCAGCATCTGAAACCCGACGGATGACAAGAAAACACACTAGACCAGGCGACTCTGATGATATGAAAAACTTGATTAAAAACTTTTAATAACCTGGAACGCCTATAAGGACGGTATTTCAAAAGCTCCCCAACTTCGTGTAGGTGAGCTAAATATGTGACGTTAACGTTATAAGCGGGCGACGAAATAAGTATGGAAATAACTATAGGATACGATTATGTTTTCTAATGTTAATATTTTCGAGAGTTCTCTTTGGTTTAGAAAAAAAAAATATGCTACTTTTGGCTTTGTATTTTAACACGGCGTAAGATCAAGTAACCAGGAGCTTCTAATTTTAGATATGCACATTTTAGACAATTTTAAATTTTTGGATATGAAGTGCACACGCGACACTCAACTAAGGCGTGAATTCATCTCATATAAACTCTTAAAATATAAATAACAAAAATTAACATATATATCTTGAATTCTAAACCAATTTTCAAAAAATAAAACGAAATTTATTTTTATGAAAATAAGTGGGCCGATAAGCGGCCTTATCGAAACTCCCCCTTTCATTTCTTAGAAAACTAGAAGAAGTGTTTAGCTACGGTGGTTTTCTAGTATTACATCTACAATGTGTTTTTTTTCTTCTTTTTTTGTATTATTCACAAAGAAAGATAATTAGTTGAATAATGTTTGTCTAATACCATTTCACATCAAGAAATATTTCTCGGCAAAGTATTGTTTTCTTTTTTTCTTTAAAGTCGTACACTAACAGAAGAGCGTTTATAGTGACAAGGTATCCGTTGGTAGAAGACACTGTCGATTTCCTGCGCCTGCTTAATGATCATGAGTCTGACACCGTCATCTGTATGGATCCACAGGACAAGATTGATTCGGTTTGTAACGTTATTAATTGGACGGAATCTAAAATATATTAATTAATGTGTCTCTTTTCTTGAGAGCTGCGTCACAAAGGTAAAAGTATTTACATTGTAAATCTTCCAGGATAACTTTCTTTTTGAAAAGATGTATATAATTTGATTATTAACTTTCTTTTCAAGGTCCTTGCCTTTGAAGATTTTTTTTTATACGCAAAAGACCCGTATATGACTCTTTGGATGCTGAAAACATCTTCTTAAAACACATTTCGGAGAAACTTCAGCTGGAACTAAATATTTTGCATGTTCCTTTGTTATTATTATTTTACATTAAAAAAAATAATAAAAAAAGACATTTTCAGCATTCATAACCTTCAAAAACCTGGTTAAGAATAGGAATTTTATTTTCTTGGATTAAGATCATCTGATAGTGCAATAATTTTAAATCAAGAATATTTCAACATTTTACCAGTAGGTCTTATGAAGATAGTAATATTATTTGTAAGTAGTATATCCTAGTCATAGTGTATAATATTCTATAGTTTGCCGATTGTAAAGCTTCGAACCTTCATTATACAATCTTTTTTTTTTTAATTTTCAATATAGAGTAAGGCGTGGTTACCAAGTCCCTCATCTTTAAAAACTGTGCCCCCTTTTACCGTCCATTTCCAGACGACTAGATCTGAGAATGGCATCAACAGCACTACTGTTCACATTCTGGAGAAAAATGTATGAAGGAAAATTTGTCTTTCGCTAGTTATATACATATTTTATCTTTTTTCTTCTTTTGGACCTAAACATTGTGTTAATATTATGCAATTACATTTCAATGATACATGTTTCAAACTTGATATGTGCTTATGGAAACAAAATGAAGGACATCTCATGTAATAGTACAACAATGGCGAATTTCTTTAGAATGAAGAGGAGGCTCATCCCGTGACAATAATAGAACTGGAAGTCAGCATAAAAACATCAGAGGCTCCTCTTGACACTTCTCAACTTCGGAGTCTGGTTTCTGCCACACTGAGCATTGAGACAGATAACCCTATCACTATTGTCAGCAGGTTTATTTCTTTTTGTTTACTAATATTTTATTTACAATTCGAATTTTTAGTCAAGCTTATATTTAAAGTTTAACTATAGAGAGATATACCGGTTAAATTAAGATCTCCTTTCCTTTACTTTATGCAATTCTCATCGATGATATTAAAGAAAGAATTGCAATTTTGTTAATGTTATTACATGATGCTAATAATGCTTTTTAAAATTGATATTGATGAAAAACGCTTCTTGATATTCCTTTTTGAAGTATCAAATAGTCAAATTTTTTCTTAGTGATGGTGCAGCTTTGTGTGGTGTTTTCTGTGCCATCCATAACGTGATACAACAAATTAACATCGATGACAGTGCGGACGTCTTCACAGCTGTCAGACAGCTACAAGTTCGAAGACCTGAATTTTGTTCCAACCTTGTGAGTTGTTTTGAGACAATGCTGTTTATGCAATAATATATCCCTGGTCGGATTTATGATTAATAAATATTTACCTTTCAATTTTTAAAGAAAAATTATCTACAACATTTATTTATTTCTTCACAATTTTTTTGGTTCGAATTCATTGATTAGAGTGGATTAAAAAAAATCATGTGCTGAGAAGGAGTGTGAATTCACGGAATCATGTAATTATAAGGAATAACTGTCAGATTTTTTTTTCTTGGTTTTATGAAGATGATGTTTGCGTGATAATTTTATGGATATAGGCCGTTTATACAAATTATCACGCAAGGCAATGAATTGATCAGATGATAAAACCAAAAAAGCTAGACAGTTATTCTTTTTAAAAAAAAGCAACTGAAGTCAATAAAAAAGAACATATTTCATAACCTGGCCTTTAATTTTTAGATCCCATAAAAGATGTTAACGATATTTTAAGTTTCTTAATATACCTCTGATGGTTATACTTACTATTACTTATTCATTAATTTTCCTTTCAGAATGAATATTGCCTGGTGATCAAGGCCGTTTATGATCACATTCAAAGCACTGCGACTAGTATTTACTACAACCAATGAGAAGACGAATCTAAAGAGGACAATAAGCAAGAAACTGCTAATTTTATTCGAACAATATTATATTTAGGTTTTATTTTATTCAGACAAGAATAAATTGATGATATGATTTTGGTAAAATTTAGTTTTCAAATGTCTTTGTAAATAAAAGGTAAATATATTCAAGGAATATTTTAGAAAATCTCTAATCAGAAGTAGATATCACTTGTACTTGATACACTGCCTGCATTATATTTATACAGCCACAAATATCTCTAATGTTTACTATTATTTTTGATTAACTTAAAAAAAAAAGTTCCATGTCTGAAAGCAATAATTTTAATCAAATTGATTAACATGTTTATTTACACATCTCTTTAAAGACTTTCTACTTATTCTCTATGTAATCTGCATTTTGCAATGCTGAAGTATGTTTTCTGACTTTACATTTAAATTCCACTTCTTTAAGCATTTTAGGAACACCCGTTGGTATTTCGAGTAATATTGCAATCGCTTTATTTAAAACTTATTTGTAGAAAAACTATTAGTGTCAGTTTGGTTTATCTGTAAATCAAGGATTGATATACAATGTATTTTATATTTTATCATTATTCTTTTTCAGATGTATTTCAAATAAAGCGTTTGATCTTCAAATTTGCATAAAAACATTTTTTATATTCAATTTGCCTTGCACAGTACAGGGATTTAATTTTGATACATAAAACAGCAACAGAATGATGTGAATATAACTCAATGTCATTGCCAGGATCAGCATCAGAAAGCAAAATAATATAAGAAGCATAATCGAATTGATTTTCTTCAAGTCAGTATTTATGTATTTAAAAAAAAACGGCATTTTTAGTAAACAATTGAATACAGTCAAATACAACACTGTTGATATAAGAAAAACTTCAAATGATAAAATGATATGAAGCAATGTTAATGCTTAGATTTATCATTTTTCTATTTCCGCTAGCTTAATGCTACTTCCGATAGCGTTGTCCTTTTTTCATACAGTAAAGTAGCTTCAAGATAATGACAACTAAAATAAATTCAGCAGGAACGGAAGAATCAGCTGACAAAGATTGGAATAGGGAGACAATACGATCTCCCTAGACTGCTAGCCCTAAAGGTATTCACAACTCTTAAATAAAGCTCAACCAACATTTGAAATTTACCATCCTTAAAAATATATCTGCCTTTCAGGTCGTTTAATAAAGAAAAAAAAATAAATTTGAAATGTATCTTTTTTTGCAATGGCTAGCACAGTGATCGAAAGATTGTGCGCTCGAATCACAGCTGCGACTGACCTACATGTAGTCGATGAAAAATAAGTTTCAACTGTTCCTTCGCCAAGCGCTCAACACTTTGAAGTGAAAGTTGTCTTTCTAATGAGACCTTAAAAAACGGAGACCCCGTGTCACGATAGCACGATAAAAAAAACCCACTGCTCAATGATTCTGAGTCCCGATTAAAGGTCTAAATCTGAGGTCCTTCACCGGTAAATGTTGACGTCTATATATGAGTGAAATATACTTGAACGTGACGTAAAGCAACATACAATCAATAAATCTTTACAAATAAAATATGGAGATAACAAATAATAAACAAACTTGAAAGTCCATGCAGACATTAAAACTGGAGAAGATGAAACACGAACCTCTGCAATATCAGAGGCAGGATTTCATGCCATATGCATGGAGGAATAAACATTTCCTGTCGATAGCCATGTGCTTACCATATGCCCTTGTCATGATGGGGTTAACCAAAAGTTTGATAACTCAGTTGATAATTCAGTGTGTAAATGATTGACCTAAGAATTAGTATGCAAAAAAGAAAGAAAAAATCATTAGCATTCGTCTTAATGATCTATTGCTTTTTCTGAGAAGGTCTTTGTATCGACGATATAACTTCCAAAATGTTGACTTTAAACCAATAAGTTAATCTCAATATTATATGTTGGTCTTAGTCATACATATAAGTTCTTTTGTGAAACAGACACAAGGAGTCTTATGAGGTTGTTTCCCCTATTTCGAAGAATGTATAGGAAGATTTTCCTGCAAATATGTTCATTGTTTGAAATACCCAGACGTGTTATTGTCCCTTGAAGAATCGGGTCTCAATTATCTGACCGTAAAGATTTGGTACAAAAGTTAATTATATCTTATCAGTTATTAAATGCTCTTTTTTCACTACAGCTCATGTTTGTTGTAAAATTATAACCTAGTGGACATATTGAATAAGGAAATGTTTATTAGGTAAAAAGTACCTACATGTATGTGACCCAATATTGTCGAAGTTGAAAAATTGATTGCGTGTTGAATGTGTGATTATATTTCTACTGTAATTTCCTGTTTCTGATATATTGATACCAAATTGTAAACTATGGCCAACTACAATTTTAGATTGTTTTATACTGACAAAAGCAAAACAAGTTACATTTGATTCAGTTCATTTTAAGCATATTTGTTTTGACAAGCAACAACTGTGCAAACATTTCTAATGCAGTAATTAAATCGGTCAAGACTACTCGCCTGTTGGGATAGGAGTGCATGTGGGTCGCTTAATCTCTGTAAACACCCCCCCCCCCCAAAAAAAAAAAAAAAAAAAAAAAAAAAAACTATTCCCATTGTTGAGTTGACATTTGAAGGTCCTGATTTTTTTTTTCATTTACTCCTTCATTCATTTACTTCATTGTCAATATGGTTCATAGAACATGAACTAGTGTCTGACTAATTGTAACATTTATTCTAAAATCAGGGAGTTTCCAAGTGTCTGAGGGATCGCAGACATCAGCTATAGCTAATGTATACCGAAATGAGAGAGGGAAGGAGGGGGAATTGTGTTCAATGGCAGGAATATTTTTTTTTCAACTGCCATAACTTCATGAACATCCAAGCTTCCGTAGTGTCTCTTACAATTCACCGATACCTCCCCGCCTCACCCCAAAAAGGGAGATATGTAAATAGTTACACAAAAGGAGAAATAACAAAGAATGAAATGAGATATAAGAAAAGAATGACCTTCAAATATCAACAAAGAGGGCAGCTTGCACTTTAATAGTAAAACTTCAACCAAAATTAATAAATAATAATAAAAATAATTATATATCATTATAATTCAATCCAAAGTGTAGTTGTTTGCTATTTCTCTCTTTGATACTAAAGCTGTCAACACCTCTTACTAGGTTTGTCTGTTTGGGATAGGAGTACAGTGTCATAATTCTTAGCCTTTGTTATAAAAAAAATATTCCAGATGATCCTCTGTATGGCATTTAAAGGTCACTGGCTTTTCTGGCTGCATCGATTTCATTTTTCATTCACAAATCCAAAATGAGGTTGCAAAGAAAGCATTGCATTTAACTTTTTTAACTTTATGTGCAGACTCCATGACTCCACAAACCTCCACTCCACTCTACTTCACTCCATTCTACTCAGCTTTTTATGCACTATTTATAGATAAAAATGTCCTTGATAAAACATCTATTTTTAGTATACACGAAACAAGCGGGGACTTCCCTTTAAACCGACTATTGTGACTGGTTTGTGTTCATCATAGGTAGGTGCTACTTCTTTTACTTAATTTGATTTATAGATTCTTTAATTCATTGCTACTTACCAATACTTAGCCATTTTTTGTTCCATTCAAAGAGTAACTAAGAAAATTTATACTTGTATTACAAGCAACAAGCAATATATTTCAATTGTTCATCCTATTTTCTTTCAATTTAAAACAAATCTTTTTCAAGAATGATTAGTCTTCTTTTTTTCTTAAACATGATTAAAATATTTACTTTTGGTAAAAACATTCATGACCTTTATTAATCTTCTCTTAAAAGTGTCGTGTGATTGTACTTTTAATTTATGACAATTCGCGATATTTATTAAATTCCCTGACATTGACCTAAACAAATACATGTCCACCTTGGCTACAAAGATCAATAATCCTTATAGATCACAGGAACATCAATTTAGATTAACTCTTGGAGACGTCCCTTGTTCAACGACATTTTAATGCTATATAAATAATAAGTTTAGTGGTATAACATAGTAAATAAAGTTTTTTTTAATGAATATATCAATTAGTGAATCTTAGTTAAAACAAACTAAGTCTTCTGTGAAAAGTACATGTATACTCAAGATATAATTTTAAAAAAATATAATTATATAGTTAACAGGGACCCGAAAAACTGAGTCGTCATAATCCCCCAACCCTATAACTTTGCCCATATATATAACATAAAAGGGAAAATAAATTTTTCTTCTGCTACAGGTCTAATAGAATAATGTAGAAAAAAAGAAGCCTTTTCATTGAGCTAAAGTTGAAATCTTGCCAAAGGAAATCCCGGCACCTACGTATATATTCAAGTATTATCTTTAAGAGGAGGTCAAGAAAATTTAAAGTACAATGTTCCGTTTTCTGAGAGAATATGGGCAATCTGGACACATTTCTCTACCTCCCATTTTTATAATAGATTTTTCCTCATTTTTTTCATTAAATATGACGGATTAAGAATTCGAAATTGTTTTATTCGTTGAGCTTACGTAAAAATTATATGTTCCGATATATCGTATTTTACCAAGATATAGTGAATTTTTTAACGCGCATCATCAAAATAATTCATGTCTTCAACTTTTTAAAATTGTAGGCATCTTTTAGTTACCAGGTTTTGAAGTTGAGGACAGATGATTCAAAACACAAAAAGTATGCCTGGATTGGTATATATCTTTGACCTATATTAGTTGTAAATTTTTAGAATATTTTTTTGATATTAAGAAATTGTTAAACCTATACGATGTTCAAAATCTCACCTGTCTACATCCATCCTTATTAATCTATGCAATTTTTTCACTTTATATCCAACTATTGTGAAAATTTGATAGAAAAATTGTAAAATTATATAGGCGGTTAAACATATTTAATATACTAATATTCAGTTGACTTGTTAATTTCAAGATTTTTGATGAGTTTGTTTGTATCATCTGCCTTAAAGAAGACCCAAACAATAAACAGTTTAGTTGAATGGAAAA